ATGCGTAGTAGGTGTCAGTATTGTTAACATTAATGACCCGTGTATAACACAAATTTTGAAGACTATTGCATTGAGAAAGACAGGCTAGAATTAGGATGTTGCAGACGTTTCTCGTGATAGAGCATGGGGAAATTGATGTCTGGGTAAATGTTAAAGACAATTGATTGTGGAAAATCAATGTAGAATAACCTATTTCTAGGCTGAAATTGTGCTACTTGTTGAGGTTTAGGGAGCTAATAAACAGTGTTCCCCCATGCACTTCTGAATTTAGAAATAGTTAAACAGCCACTACAATACTACAAAGATCTCCCATCAGAGGGAACATTTTGCTACAGATAAAAGGGTTGCGTCTCTCCGGTTGCCATGGAAGAGCTGGCCCACTGTAGACATTCCAAGCAGAGACCTGATTCCATGAATTCATGTGTAGCTGCAGACTCAGCACCCCTGAGACTGGGAGGCCTGCGCAGAGCAGAGCTGAGCAGGTGTGCAGGGCATTCTACCAGGTGCTCAGGTACTTTTGCCCTCCCAGGAATGGAAGTGGTTAAGCTGGTCTTTCTCTGGTGCCCCAGTGCCGTGGAGTGAGAGTGTAGAGGGCATGGATGTTTCTGTGCTGGCTCAGGGCAACTTGACACATGCTAGAGGCATCTGGGAGGAGGGAACCTTAATTGAGAAGATCCAGCTGTGAGGCATTTTCTAAATTTGTGATTGACAGGGGAAGGCCCAGCTATGAGTGGTTCCATCCCTGGGCTGGTGGTCCTAGCCTCTTTAAGAAAGCAGGCCAAGCAAGCCATGTGGAGCAAGCTAGAAAACAGCACCCCTCCATCAGCTACTACCTCCAGGTTCCTGCCCCATTTGAGTTCCTGTCCTGACTTCCTTTAATGTTGACCAGCAGTATGGAAGGTAAGTTAAATACTTTCTCCCCAACTGGTGGCAGGTTTTATAGGGGGGTATGGAGCATGCGCATAGGGAAAATACTGTGACCGTGGTGGCAGTGGAAATGAGTCGTATTGGCCACTAGTGATGACACGGCCATTGGGGCTGAGTCACTGAGGTGGGGTGGGGATGGGGGAACACCTGATTCTGGAATATGGGTCATTCTTAGTTGACTAACACTTGGCATCATGACTCACCCGTGGGGAGGCCCGTGAAGGGGGAGTATATCCGAGACCACAAACTGTAATAGAAACTACATTTTTATCCTTTCTTTCTGTAGTGATTTCAGCCACATAAGGCTGATATTTCCAGGTTCTAGGGGTCATACAGGTTCAGGCAAGCCCTCAGGCAGAAAGTGCCTAATGGTTTCCGCGAATGTTAAAGGGCTGTGCATGACCCACTTGCAGTGTGGATGACATCATCCACGTATGACTCAGCTAAGCCCTTGCGTGCATATGTGAGCCCATCATGTGCATATGACATAGCCACATCAACCTCTTGTGCACATGTGCTAGGCAGCTTTTAAAAGCAGAAGCGCCATCTTCCTCTTTCTTTCTCCTCTCTCCTCTCTCTCTCTCTCTCTCTCTCTCTCTCCCTCCCTCTCTCTCCTCTCTCTCTGCACACTGACTTTCCCAGGCCTGTACAAGCCCCCTCTAATAAACTCCTGAGTGGGTTTGTTGCATGTTCCGTGTTTCCTTCTCACACGCACCAGGTAATTTCACTTCACTTCACTTTTTAAAATTAATAGAAAGCTACAGTTCTCTAATTTTCCACGCAGCCTTCTCAGCAGATGTTTACAGATTGCGGGGAGGAGTAGGCCAGAGTCTCCATGAATAAAAGAAGAGGGTGAAGAACATCCCTAGCTGAGCCGGGAGCTCTGATCTCTCCTCTTTCTCTGTCTCTTACAACCACAGCAAGAATACAAAGTCTCTCAGTGTGCACATATGGCTTGGAGTGTCTCTGAGAGAGACAAGATAATGAGTATTTGTCTTCGCTCATTCATGAAGTTAATATACGAGCCACTCTTAATTACATTTAGGAACTTTATTCAACTAGTGTAAATAGTAATTTCTGAGATTTCCCACCAACCCTGACGCTATACCTGTTCCATGGAACAAGCCCCGAGAATTCATCTGGGCTTTCGAGACCAGTTTTGGTGTTTGGCTGTGTGAGTGAATCTCCTTGTTTCCTCCTGACTCTACCAAGCCTTTACTATCTTTCGGTTTTCTAGGACAAGAGCTTTTATATATTTTACTTTATTTATTTTCAGATCACTTTATCCTACCATGAATGTGATTTCCATCTGTGAACTGTGTTGCAGGAACCACCCTCTGGCCAGCCCCTCTCTTCCCCACTTTCCTCACAAACCCAAGAACAGCACAGAAGGAAAAGAGAAAGAGGATCTGCCTTCCTCATACCTGCCCAGCCAGGGCCCAAGAAAACAATGCTGCCCTCCAAGCTTCTCCTAATCTCTTCAGAAATGGAAATGCTATACCTCCTCACACTGTGAGAGATTTATGAGGCTCTCAGTTTATGAGGAAACATTACCAAAACACCAATTGTTTGGAGAAAACAAGTTCAGTGTGGTTAGAAAAGAGCAAGGGAAAATGACAAGCAAACCAGGACCTAGGGAGAGGCTTTGTAGCCGAAGGCTGGAGCCCATTGGGATTGCTTTGCAGATGCTTGTCTGTGGGCCTGTGTGCTGTAGTGTGAAGGCTTGTGTATCCTCCAAAAGTTGTGTTGAAAGTTAGACTCAGCACAACAGCACCTTTAGAGAGTAAGGAGGCCATCAGCCTCACCTGAGAGAGTGAAGTCAGCACTTTGTAAAGGGGTTAGTGAGCATGAGGCCATATTGACTCTTCTGTAGTTCTGTCATGGGACGACAGAGTATCCATTCACGCCAGAGAAGGTAAAATGCAAGGAACTCTATTTTTAAATTTTTTATGTTTTTTGAGAATTTTATACATGATACAATGAAATATAATAATGTTATGCCCAGATCACGGTGTCCCCCCAAAACCAACTAGGAGACCAATTCCTGTATGTAAAAACAAAGAGCCTTTATTCTTTTTTTTTTTTTAAATTTTATTTAACTTTATTTTATGTGCATTGGTGTGAAGATGTCAGGTTCCCGGGAACTAGGTCTTCAGACAGTTGTGAGCTGCCATGTGGGTGCTGGGAATTGAACCCGGGTCCTCTGGAAGAGCAGTCAGTGCTCTTAACCACTGAGCCATCTCTCCAGCCCCCTTTTTTTTTAATATATTTATTTATTTATACAATATTCTGTCTGTATGCCTGAAGGCCAGAAGAGGGCGCCAGACCTCTTTAGAGATGGTTGTGAGCCACCATGTGGTTGCTGGGAATTGAACTCAGGACCTTTGGAAGAGCAGGCAATGCTCTTAACCACTGAGCCATCTCTCCAGCCCAAAGAGCCTTTATTCTTACACAAGTTTGCAAACTCAATCTTTCCGTGTATCCAATGTATTGGAATGATCGGAGAGCCCCAAGCTCAGTTGGGGTTGGTTTTTTGTTGTAGCAAAGGTGGGAGTGAGGGATTTCTAAGGTTCAGGACCCCTGACTGGCTGACATTTGTCTAGGGGTGTCCTGGTGAGTGTGCTGGCAGGTGATCCTATCTACAATGGATAGAACATTAGGAATTTCCTTTGGATGGTCTGTTCCTGGGTGGTATCTGGGTGGTCTCAGTTTGTGGTCTTTCATGGAACCAGGTGTTGCCTTCTGGAAAACTACTGAGACTCAGGCCGCCATTGAGCTTGTCACGGCTGGGTCCTGCAATCATATCTACCCCAATTTTGCTCCTGACTACTTTCCAACCTACTCCTCCCAACGTTGTCATCTTGATCTCCCCCCCCCCACCTCTGTTTCTCTTTTTTTTTCTTTAACAACCTACTAAGATCAATTACTGCTATACATATGTACACGGGTGAGGGCCTCCTATCCATGGCCACACCCCCAAAGCAGAGTGATTCTTCCTCCCCAGACAGTTATCAGCTGCCAATAGCTGCTCAGTTACAGGTGGAGCCTCTAGAAATTCTCTCCCATTTTAGCTGGGATTCTGGCTGGCTTACTCTTAAGCGTAACCATAGCAGCTGCGCACTCAAGAGGGCAGCAGCCCATGGCATGTGCGGAAGACGGCGTTCCTTCGCATCCTCTGGCCCTTGAGCTCTTCCCACGCTTTCTTCCTCAATGTTCTCTGAGTCTTGGTGGGGCCAGCTGAGGGCAGTGATAAAGACGTCTCATTTAGGGCTGAACACTTGCAGTTTTTCTTGTCCTGACTGCGTTTGCCTCCGGTGGAGAGGAGCTTCTCTGGCTCTAGGTCTGTGAATACCAACATACTTAGAGGTCAATTGGACAACATAACTGCAATGGTAAAAGTGAAAATGCTGCGGATCCCGGAGTGGCCGCAGTGGCAGAAACGCTGCAGCCCTCCAAGCGGCAAATCCCAGGATTAACATTTGGAGCCACCCCAGATTCTGAAGTGAGGCTCTTTGCTCTGGTGTTGGGAGCCTCCCCCATTAGGAATCAGGCATTATGCTCGCCCTGTCACCTGGCAGGAAGAACCCAGGCAGTACCTGGGCCAGCCCAGGGTTCTATGACTGCTACGTCACTATGTATGTACACAGCTACAAAAGGTCCCTTTAAGAGAGAAGCACCACCCACTTCCACTCTCTCCCACTGCTCTTATAAAGAGGTAGGCTGAGCCTTCCCTCTTCTTCCTCTTCTTCTCTGTTATGATTTTAGCCAACCGGCATGGCTGGCACTTCCGGGTTCCAGGGCCACGCATGTGCCGACAAGGCAAAAATACCTAACATCCCCGGGGACCTTAAAAGGCTGTACATGATTTACGTGTGGCACGGTTGCATCACCTACATATAACGCAGCTACGTAAGCCCTTGCACGCATGCGTGACCTCTGTCATCTGTGTATGATGTAGCCACGTCATCCCCCTGTGCACATGCGCTAGGCAGCCTTTAAAAGCTGGATGCGCCATCTTCAGTTCTCTCTTTCTGCACACCGACGTCACCAGGCCTGTACGTGTCTCCTCTAATAAACTCTTAAGGGGGCTTGTTGCGAGCTTCGTGCTTCCTTTTCACTCGCTCTAGGTAATTTCACTCACTCTCTGTATTTCTCTTTCTCCGCCCCCATCCCCGCACTCCCTTATCTCCATAAAACTCCCACATAAGCTTTGCCTGCCTGGTGTGTCTGTTTTCACCCTCCGTGAGCTCTCCAAGGTCTCTCTCAGGCCATTTGACAACATTGGGTGTCGTGATACTCCACAGGCTCCCCTGGCAGTTCCTCCTGCCTGCCAGCAGTTTGAGAACCTCAAGAATGCTGTATCTTCCAATCTGGTCACCTTTTCTGAATAAGGATCACTGGAATTCTACATCCAACACCAACAGAATTGGCAGTAATTGATGGTAGGCCCCTTCATGACTGAGGATTCGTTTCAGTTGTGGTTTCTCACCTTCTGGCTTTGCTTGAAAGAGCTCAAGAGACCCAGTACTGGGCACCCACAGTCTCGCGCTCAAAGCTCTGGCCCCTGCCTTTGTGCTCGATGGACCACGAAGGCAGCTTGTGCCGGTCAAATCCTTCCTCTCTTAGTCTCTGAAACTCAGGACACTACAGGCTGAGGATCTTCCCCACCTCACTCGTGGAGCAAGACAGTGACGTAAACAGTCTCGTAAAGGGTCTCTCCTTACTTAAGATCTGTTCAGGCTGACAGGGAATGATTTAACAATGGATGTCTAATATCTAACATCTTTTTTTTTTTGCTACCATTGTTCGTATTAAAGGATAAACACATTTCAGATGTAACTTTTCACTAAAAGAACATGTTTTGCAATGACACTTTCTTAGCAACAACTACTCCTGTCTCTGGTAAATGATGAAATGGAAAGAGAAAGGTTCAAATTTCATGCTGAGGGTTTAAGAATATGTCCTAAGATATCTAGAGGTGTGAGGATGTAAAAGCTTAAATAAGTTCTGAGGATCTCAGAAAATGATTTACAATAGGTTAGTACCAGTTGTAAAGATTAATAAAAAGAATTAAAGTATATAAATAATGGGAGATACTTTAGATTTCTCTTTTCCCCGTCTATGATATTCTTACAGTTTTAACATTAACATTTAACATTGTTCAATAAAGTTCCAATAGGCTAAGAAAGCACTGACTACTTGCTATTCATTCACAAGTTCAGGATTTTAAATTTCTTTTGGTTGTCTTCTAAGTATAGACTTAAAAGTACTTTTCAGCAGGCTAAACTATCTCTGTCCAATCTATATATCTAACTCTCTGGACAGAGGAAAAATTGTTCATGCTTTTTACAATTAGAAATGTCATCTCTCTTTGTAGACTAAAAATTCATGTAGGCTCCAGAGAGTTAAGGAAATCATCAGATTTATATCCATCTGTCCCAGGTCAAAGAGACTTCAGATAAGCACAGTCCTAAGTTTCTCCACTTGTCTGTTCCTGAGGTGGAATCCTGATTTTGGGATTCCTCCTGTCCCCCAATTAATTCCTAGGACTCTGGGACTAAAAGTCCAAACGTAAGGTTTTCTTTTAAGTCCCTAAATTTTAACTTCTACCCCTAGTCTATATTTGTCTCGGCAGATTTCCATTTAGCTGACAGACATCATCTAAGGGTTACCTGCGGACTGGAAACTGCTGAGCTCTGGACATGTTGAAAACTGATGAGAACCACCGCAGCCAAGGTAATTGTTCCCTGTTTCTTCAGCTGGGTCAGCTAATCAGACGCTTCTGATAAATGCCCCATTACCCAGTCTTTTGACTAGCCCTCCAGCTTTCCTCGGCCCTGGCAACAGTGACCTAGTTTCAGCTGGAACTAGTAACAAGAGAGAGCATATCATTCCTTGCCCCCATAACAAGCTGAAATGCTAAGTCAAGATGAAACCCTCTGGCATAGCGGGCAACATGGCTTCTGACAATGCCAATTGACAGACGACAAAAGTGGGCACAGGTCTGTCAGCCAGTAGATTCATTAACTGAGATAGTTCTTAATATGATAGGACTGCTTTACAGTGTAGATTTCACCCCAATGGTAATGCTAATGTATTTAGAAATTTCATTGCTTTTTCTAAACTGAAACTTCATGTAGGCTTCAGGGAGTTAAGGAAAGCAGCAGATTTAGATTCATCAGTCACAGGTCAAGTAGACTTGGCCTGCTTTATGCAGAACAAAGAAGGATCATATGGATTTAAAAGAAATTTTTTTTTTCTGTACAAACCATTCAGGATTATAATCTGGCTGTACCCAAGAAAATATTACAAAAGGGGGACCTGGGATTAAAATAATAATTGCCTGGTGCCCTGTCCATTTCCAGGCTCCTTCCAGACAGTCACTTTAGCCCTTCTGCTTCTGCTAACTACTGTTGGCTTTTCCATCACTGACCCAATAACTAAATGATCATTCCTGTCTGGGTACCGTTAAGCTGATAGTTATAGATCCCAATATAAGCAAGCACCCATCATGGAGTCAAGGATTTGACCCAGGATATAACTCAAGGGGGGAATGTAAGACAGTGCTAACCTGTAAGTAAGCCCAACCCACCCAAGGCCTGGGTTACTTCCTGGAGTGCTGGGAGTTATTCAAATATACTGAAACCTCATGGGAGAAGATGGTGGAAGTATGGGTTTGTTCTTATAAACCCTTGCAAAACATGTCTTGGGGCCACTCAGCTGGGAATTCCAGGGAGTGGTCCCCACCAAAGTCCATCTTTATTGGTATTTAATTAATGTTTGCTTCAAATTTGGCTCAAATGGTGGAACTGGTTTTTCTCTGGCAAATCCCAGGAGATTAACAGCTCACTTGCTATGAACCTCTACACTAACATGTATCACAAAGCATGTGTGTAATACAGGGTCAGCATAAAGAACAGAAGAGTAAGGCATCCTTGGGAAATTCTCTGCATTTTCTTTATACCTTCTGTCTGAATAGGTGGGAAGTAAAAGCTCATTGTGGGTCCTTGATTTGCATTTGTCTTATGATTTACAATGTTGAACATTTTTAATATGTTGGGCATATGGATGCTATGTTTGTAAAAATTTTACTCAAGCTTTTGCCCATTATCTAATAGAATTATCTGAATTTTTATTGTTGGTGAGTCATACTAGTTCTTAAAATATGTCTGGTTAGTCTGTCATAAGATATATGATTTCTGTATATTTCCTTCCATGCTGAAGCTTACCTTTGTGTGTGTGTGTGTGTGTGTGTGTGTGTGTGTGTGTGTGCGTGCGTAGGGTGAGAGTGTGGGAATATGTGTGCGTCCATGTATGGACTGACATTCTCTCCTTCCACCTTGAGTCAAGGTCTCTCCTGTTTTTGCCAATCTAGCTGTCCACTTCAAGGGAGGTGTCCTATGAGCTTCTGGGAAATCCTCACCTTCACCTCTCAATCCATAGCATGAGTGCTTAAAATTCTAAGTCTGCAGCGCTGCCTCTATCTTTCTTCATGTAAATTCCAGGGCTTAACCTCGGGTCATCAGGTTGTGTGGCAAGCACTTTTACCAGATGGGCCATTTTGCTGGCCTAGTATTTTATGCTTTGTTAATTGGGCTTCAAGGTTATTCATAGTCATTGTACAGAAATACAGTTGATTTTCTGTGGGATTTTATATATTGCAACTTTGATGAATTAGCTAGCTAGTTCCAACACCCTTTGTGTAGAATCTTTATAATATGTACAGATAAAATCACTGCTTGGGAACAGGGGTAATTTCAGCTCTTCCTTTACAATTTGGATTGATTGTCTTTGTTTTTCTTATCTAATAGCCCTTACTTTAGTTCTTTTCAATTTTAGGATTCAGAAATTAATGCTTAGAGATGATAATTAGCTTGCTTGAGGTAACACAGCTAAGTGGTACAGTCTGAATAAAAACTCAAGGCTTTGAACGCTACAGTCAAGAATGGAGTCAAAATACTGAGTAGGATTTTAGCAGGTTGGAATGAAAAGGTGATGCTGGGCAGGTAAATTCTGGCAGGTTTAATATGGCCCTCTGTATCCTTGGAGATGACCACACACTAAATCACTAAATACAAATAGGCTTAAAGGGAAAACTCCAATTACATCTTAAAGAATAATAATTTGGAAGACAATATTTGCTCTAAGATCAGTTAGAATAGCAGTGTTAACTGGGGTGAATCTGTGCCAATGATGGGCATGATGTAAAAATTACCTTGAAGCCATTTGTGTCCTTACTGTTATCTTCCCCCTCTGTCTTTTTATTCCTCCCTCTCTCTTTATCCTTCTACATAGTTTGAGACTTTTAAAGTTGAATGAGACCTTAGAGAAGAAAACAGAGGAAAGAAAAACAAGATGATTGTAGCAGCGTAAACGAATGCAGACAGATTGTAAAATATATATATATATATATATATATATATATATATATATATATAGCTTTAATGGAGAAATAGACTTACAGAACCACCGTTCCCGCGGAGACCAGGAAAGCAGAAGCAGCAGCTGGGAGCACGCTTGCCAAATTTATAGGCAAACATTAGCCCGAGGCGAACATGCTCCCTAAGGGGCAGGACTTATCCCTACATCTCCCCTTTTTGTCTAAATAAGACAGAACTAAACCAAATACAACTATATACAATAATAACAAGTAATAAATATAACAAACAATATTGAGAACAAAAGTTTTGCTAAACATTCTATCTCAAGGAGTCTAAATAATGTAGAGAGTAACTACAATTATATAATCTTCAACTCCGTCAAAGATCCGAGAAGGGAATAAATATTACTTAACAAACGAGATATATCCAAAATGTGTAACAATTGACAGAGACAACTGACTACCTGGGCAATCACCCAAAGTTTCGTTTGCAATGTTGAGTCAACCAACTTTGGCTAAGGCCTAACATAACTGACATACCATTTTCAAAGGCAAGCAACTTTTCAAAACTATCTTACCCTGTCTTGGCAGGATATGACAGTCCTGTTTTATCCATTGATGCATGCTCTGTATCTCTGTCAGTGATTGAGGTATGGGCATTTCTTTGCCCAAAGGCCAGTTCTGCCAAACAGAAAGGCTCCAGGTGGAGTGTCTTTGGTGCTCAACATTCTCTCGGGAATAGAGCGGTGTTGCCAGGAGCAATTGTGTCTCACTATCACGAAACTCTGAGTTAGATTAAAGGCCATTTTCTACAGCTCTTTGAAGAGGTTGAAGATTATCTATCTATACTAAGTATTATCTCTATATATCTAAAGAACCTGATTAGTCTAATTATAAATGACAAACTTAGATGACTATTTATCTATATAATTCTCAATATCTATCTACCTTAAAGACTAAGACAATAAATGACTGAAACAAATGAGGACAATGACCTCCAAATATAAACAATGTACAAATATACATTGCAATATGGCAAATATATATCAATACACAAACATTATATAAGTATCTTAATCAGAGGTAGAAATGTACACTGCAATATGGTAAATATATACTATATATATCAATACAATATATGTCAATACATAAAAAATGTTTTAAACAGACATAGAAACATGCATGCATATAATGGTCAATATAATTTAACTTTATATCAATATACAAGAATCGATACCAATATATTTGTCTAAAAGCAGTAACTCACAATTATAAAATCTATTATCCCATCATTCCCTTTTTTTAAAATGATCCCTGAACTTATAAAATTCATCCCCCAACCCCTAAATGATGTCCCTAAACCCAGGGGCAAACTTTACTGGGAGAGGAAACGTCGTCCTCTAGAATTACTTTCAGCTGTCATGAGGGCGACGTTCTTTTCTGAGGGATCCTATGAAAGTAAAATGATGGTTAAATTTCAGGATCAATGTCTTTTGAAATTGCAAATAGTCTCTGACTATTTTGTGGAGGTCTGGCCAGAATGTTGTACAGGATGTGCACCATTTCAGCTAACCAAGTTGGGATCGTCTTGTGCAGCAGGTACCCCAAACAGGTCTTGTAGTAGCGTTATCAGTATCATGACGTCATATCAACCAGGTAGAGTTGTTGTTGTGGGGCCCCATCTTCTTCCTGGAAACTTCAAATGTTACTTCAGGAAAAACTCATTGTTCATTGAGAAAAACTTAAACATTAATCATATAGACATATATAGACATACATATATATATTCAATGAAAGGCATGATAGATATATTCAATGAAAAGTATGATAGATATGAAGAAAAGCAAAGATGTTTTCTAAATTCATATTTCTTTCTGTCCCATATCATGGCTCTTGACATGAGACAGGAAGTCCAGAAACACTGGGTTTTTCTCTTACTAACAGGCTTGGAATTGGAGAGGGACTGAGCCAGAGTCCAACTTCAAAACCAGCTCTACATATTTATAAAGAAATGTTTAATAATATATATATATATATATATATATATATATATATATATACTTACAAAGTGTGTCCATCCATCAGTAATTAAATATTCAGGGTCCCTTAATTTCTTTGAAGATGAGTATTTTCCTGTGGAGATAAGAAAAGAACCCTGCCTCCAACCTATCTGTATTTCTTACCATCAGTATGCTCGCCATCCTTATGAAAGAATTGTTATTTATCTTTTCCAAGTAGCTTCTCTTCTTCAAACCGAACCTTTATTAATTTTGACGGTATCCACAATTTTTTCTCACCTGTGGAGATAAGAGCAAAACCCCTTCCCCAACGTAGCACATCTCCTGGCTTCCATTGT